CATGATATGTGAAAGCTCAATAGAATTTATAATAATTCCGTTTTTAATACTTGGATTTTATCATTTATAGAGCTAATAAAAAATTTTAACATTATTAATATGTAAAAATTGAAGGCACGCACAATGTCACAAGCAAAGCTACTGAGTATAGAACAAACTGGTAGATTAAATTGAAAAAAAGGATTTCTTTTCCATAATCGAAACATTGTATACAAAACTAATAAAACTCAAAATTGTGAGGGTCTCGATTATGTACAAGTACAAAAATATAAAAAAATAATTAGAACAACAAGAAGATTATATATGATCCCATGGGGTTGAGTGTAAGAAATTTATTTTTTGTATAATGTTTTCTAACAAGCCTTTCCCACCTTGCAATTAAGTGCCCCTGCAAACCTTGTCATCCATGTGACTTGATCTGCTGGTGCAGCTGCAATGCCATCGTAAAGATTTTGATGTTTCTTTGACCAATCAGGATCACCAGCTTGAACAAAGTATGCTCCATTCATGTATAAATCTCCCTCTGATCTCCATGTCCACTGCATCCATACTGATTCTGGGGAGTACTCCCTCTTTGTAATCTGGTTTATGTACATTCAACAAAAATTACTAGGTGTTTCGATTATATATGGTGTTAGTTCAAATGGCTACCAAGAGATTCTCTATTCCTAGACCTGATTGAAATCTTTTGATTTATAAATGTAGGATCATTTCACACCGACTTATTAGTGGTATGGACCAAAAGTTTGAAAATGAACAAGCAAAAGAAAGGGGGAAAGTGTACCTGCTTCTTGAAGATATCAGGAGGAGCGATGAAACGATTACCCTGGCTAATGATGGTGGGATTTTTACTACCACCAATAGCATACATATTCCAATGAGTATAATCATTATTGACAACATGAATGTATCCCCATCTGCACCTAGGCATCCTCTGTACCAATCTCTTTCCAAAATGATTGAATGCTAGTGTAATTTGCATTTTTTGATCAATTGAAGAACTATCACTTGCACCAAACAACATAACTTCATTATGATCAGTGTAATGGCCATTAGAAATGGTGATACCAGTGGATCCCTCCACAGCATCAATGATCCCATCGTAACAATTCTCCATCGACATATGATCGATCCAAATATTAGACGAACCAAATATTGAAATACCATCTCCGTCACTCTTTGTTCGGAAACCAATGTGGTCCACTGCATCTCTAACCATGCCACCATTCCCTTCAACTATATCGTGAATGTGTAATCCATGGATGATCACGTTTTTCGTGTACTGAATCATAATACCTGTACAGACATATAAATATAAATAAGTGGGAAAAAAATGTGATTGATCTTTATTAGTTGTGTTTTTAAATGAGATGGTCAGACAAGTCAACAAGTACGTACTAGCACCACCAGTAATGTGAACAGTAGCACCACGACCATCGATAGTTTTGTCACCCTGCATGATAAGTTCCTGGTGAAGCTTGATCTTCATGTTTCTGTCAAAAATGATCCACAATGGCTCCTTTTGGATAACAGCATGACGGAGGGTTCCGGGTTTTGGAGTGGTATAATCATCTGATGAGTCTGAGACGACGTAATATTTGCCGTCCCTCCCGCCTGTGGTCTTGTACCCAAAGCCCATAGAACATTCTACTAGCTTCTTCCTGTTGTCAGCCCAATTTGGGTCACATCTCCAGCACTTATCAATTGGATTTGTGACCGTGCAAGGCCCTTCGTATTTTTTGGTTCCTAGCTCCCTTCTTGTTTCATTCTTGGATACAACTGCACTTAATTCCTTCACAGAACTGCATAAACAGAACAAATCATAGCAACATAACGAATTAACGATAAGAAAATGGACCTTGGGGCTAACTCAACCATAAAAACTAACAAAATGTTAGAAAAAGCACAAGCAAGAGAGAGAGGGAATTAAATTGACATACTCGCGAGTTTTCTGGTTAAATGCTAATGTGATATTGGCAGGTTCGCTCTCATACGTTTGGATAGTGAACTTCATGGCTTCCTCGGCTCTCCTCCTCCACACTTCATCAAAATCTCCAATATGAGCATTGAAGGCAGGAATTATTGCACCAAATACAAAAAATAGAACAAAGAGGGAATGCGTCATTTTAGGTTGATTGTTCATTATTTTTAATTTTTTGTTTATTGGTGGTTTGGGCAGGGTCGAACTACTGGCTCATTAAGGTCTGGACCCTCCAACCACAATTTTATTTTTTTAAAATTTTAGTGAAGACTCTGTCTTAACAGAGAAAAGATTAAAGTTTATCTTTGGATGCTGCTAAAATGTGGCTTATATAGTAGTATTTGTCTTAATGTTTGACGTAGAATTATCGCAAGATGCGCATAACCATTATTTAGTGAAGTGAACCATTAACAATAGTTTCCTTACTTAACTCTGGTCCAAAGATGTTATAACACAATGATGTTGACCAAATACTTGGAAATTTGAATTAATTTTTTACTAATTAATGTATTACTAAGGGGTGTGATTGAATCTTTATTTTTCTTTTCATGTGTGACTACTAAAAATGGGTCGAAAATTGAAGGTCAAAACTAACGAATGACTTAGATATTTTTAACTATAGACTATGTCAGAAAATGATTGGCTGGTTTAAGGAAATAAAAAACTAAGGATATGGGTCGATTATCTTGAATTTATAAATATCAATTGAAAAATTGGTATAAAAATATAAAAAAATCATAGGGACTCTCTGTTTTTTTTTAGAAAATATATATTAAAGAAATGTAGCAACTTGGAATCAATCCAATGTATTTTTACCATGACATTGAACAATTTACCACTAAATTACTTATGCTCTTTGATGAAACACTTCCGATGTTTTTATTTATACTTTTTAATTGTAATTTTCTACTTCAATAATCGACTAATATCTTATTTTATAATAGATGTTTTGGCATAACAAGTGCAACAGTTCATAAATGATACATTGAAGGAAGGGTGTACAATATGTTGAAGGTTGGCCAAAGTTAATTTATTGTATAATAGATGTTTGGCCTAAGTTCATAAACACTCTCTCTGCGAAATATTGTTCCAAAACAATGGAAAAGTGACCATTTTCTTCACATATTTTTCCTTTATCATAGTAGTCCTCCACTGAGGCATCCATGTGATGTGAGTTGTGACAAAAAAAAAGTCATTATAATTTTAAACATAATACATAAACATGACCTTTAATTTGGTTTCAACGAACAACTCTGTCCTCCAATTTTGAGTGTGCACAATAGACACTTAAACTTGTATAAAATTGAACAAGTAGACACACGTGTCCTACATGACATAATACACGTAGGACGTCATGTAGGACACAAAATTGTCATGTGGGTGTCATGTAGGACGAATGTGTCTATTTACTCAATTTTATACAAATGTAAGTGTCTACTTATGCATACCAAAGTTAAAGGTCATAATTGCCAATTGAAGCCAAGTTAATGGTCATGTTTAATGTAAGCATAATATATAAATATGCCCTGTAACTTGGTCTTATTTCACATTCATACCCTCCAACTTTGGGTGTGCACAAATAGACACTTAAACTTGTATAAAGTTGAACAAGTAGACACATGAGTCCTATGTGGCATAATACACATAGGACATCACGTAGGACGCAAATTCCCATGTAGGATGCCACATAGGATGTGTATGTTTATTTGTTCAATTTTATACAAGTTTAAGTGTCTACTTGTGCACACTCAAAGTTGGAGGACATAAATATAAAATGAAGCAAAGTTAAAGGGCATATTTATGTATTATTAATGTATTATGCCATTTTAGACGCCAACAATAATTCAGTAAATAAGGTAAGGAATTTTCAGAATTTTAACTGAGAATTTTAATTCCAAAAAGTATTAGTCAATATACTAATGGAAGGATTTTTGTAACTTAGCTACTCTCAGATGTTGATCAATTTGATTTGCTAAAATTTAATGCATAAATTAAGCACAAACAGACTGCAGTAGACAATATCAAGTAGTAGTACATAATTTTGGTCAAAATTATTTGCTTGGTCTAGACTAATAACAAAAATAGACTTTATTCTCTCCTTTATGCTGTATTTTTTAAAAAACACTTTCTCGGTGTATTTTTTAAAAAACACTTTCTCGGTGGACAATCCAGCTTTTCGTATCTTTATTAACTTATTCGATACTAGATGAAATAAATTTAAAAATAACAAAAAAATTGGAAAAAAAGTACCCACCACCCAATCGAGTGTATGGAAATCTTAGGATTATTTTGCATATATATCATATTCTTGTCTTGCTTATTATTTATTCTCCGTTTTAATTTGTTTGATCTATTTTGATTTGATACAAATTTAAAAAGTATTTTAAGAAAAAATCTTGTGATCTTAAATTTAAAGTATGCCAAATGTATCCAAATGCATTTTAATCTTGTGATCTTAAATATATAACGTGAAAATTTGAAATTAAAAAGATAAAGAAATATTCGTGTTGAAACATACTAAAAAAAAGTATGCCATACAAATTAAAATAAATAGAGTAATCTATTAAAATATTCCATCACATATTATTTACTATAAAATTAGAGATTTTATAAGATCAAAATTTGCTACATTTCATCTAACTTGTTAACTACATTCGTACCTTTATAAAACACTATAAAATGTCGAACAAGATTTATAATTAAAAAAGTAGAAGTTATAATTAAAAAGATCTAAAGCAAACTTCAAATTTAATGAATTTTAATTGCAGCAGACATTATATGGAAAAATTAAATTGTTGATATTTCATCAAAAAAACCGTCCTCATACGTTCTGAGTTGGCATCTCGATGTAGAAAATCGACGGTCCTAAGCGTGGTACATCCCTTTGCAAGCCACAAATCTACGGTCAAGATCACCCTTCGTAATAGCACACCGTTCAAAAAGAGACCAAAAAATTAGGGCATTGCAGCATTTATATACACAAAAAAAAACACTGCTGCTCTACAACTACTAGAGCTTCCTTTCATTCTCTTCTTCTTCTTCTTACTCCGAATTTGAGCTTCAACCATGGGGAAGGGTCCTGGACTTTACACTGAAATCGGAAAGAAGGCTAGAGGTACTGCTCTCTCTCTCTTTGTATTTTCTGTTGATTTCTCACGATTAAACAGCTACATGTGTGTATTTTATGATAATGTAAATGTGCAAATGATTGTGTTTTGTGTTATTAATTTAGAGTTTTTTTGTTTATGAGATAAAATGCAGTGTTGATTTGGTTTTTGTGTTTTTGACTGTTTCCGTTGTTAATTTTTTGTGTTTAATTCAATAATCAGATCTGTTGTACAAGGACTACCAGAGTGATCACAAGTTCTCTATCACCACCTACTCTCCCACCGGAGTTGTGAGTTTCTCCTCTAATTTCATGCCGATCTGTTTATTTTTGCTGATTTAACTCCTTTGATTTATACTGTTATTTATACATGTTTGTGTATTCTGTAATTCATCGAATGTGGCCGTTCATTTGTAACTATTGCACGAATAGTAATCTCATACCTTTAATAATTAACTTCATTTAATTATTCCATTTCAACTTCATAAACATAAATTTGAAAATTTGACTCGTAAGTCATTAACATCTCGTGTTTGGCCTGGGACGAAGGTGGTACTACTAGTATGTTGTATCTACACTTGGACATTAGATTTGTGGATGGTTTAATGCATATAGAAGTCGTCACAGTTGGTTCCATTGGTATAGTTGTTAGGAACACAACTTATGATGCATTTACCTGTTTTATATGCTTGTGCAGCTTTTAGATTGGGGATTTAAGTGGAGAAGGGTAGAGGGGCGGGTCCATTATCCACCGAGTTTAGAAGGTTGTGATTGGTCCAAAGGGCGGGTCACAGACGGATTTCTCGGTTATCAAAAAAAAAAAGATTGGGGATTTAACCTAATTTTTATGGATTGACAGAAAGTTAATAATGACAATTATTTGCTTCAGGCTGATTGCTATCTTTACTATTTTTGTAATAGCACAAGTCTTTTTGATTTCTTAGTGTACTGCCCTGTAATTACTTATATAAATTTCTGCTGCAGTGTTTCTTATTGACTGGCTGTTAGAATTGTTTTGTAAGATAATCTTCCATGTCCTTCTGCAGGTTATTACTTCATCAGGATCGAAGAAAGGTGATCTGTTTTTGGCTGATGTTAACACTCAGCTGAAGAACAAGAATGTTACAACAGACATTAAAGTAGACACAAACTCCAATGTGAGTACTGCAATATGCTCTTTTATCATTTTTGTAATTTCACCCACTTATGCATACGATATTCTCCTAGTTTTTCTTCTTTGCATTTTAAATTTTGCCTTTATTTTGTTTGTCAACTTCTTGGACACTGGGAAGCTTGCCCCTTGAGACTGGGTCCTTTGTTTTGAATTGCCCTTTTCCTTTCCAAAGTGGAATTCCTTCTTGCCTTCAACTGTGCCAAACTCCACTTCTGCTGTTGCCAGAGGTGGAATGATTCATTCAACCTTGGTATTGGTAACCAAAAAATTGGGCTCTAGCAGTTTGGACGTTAGGTTCACTGACCAGAGTATATGCAGAACAGTATTTGATAAATTGTATATTAGCTTTCATATACTGTTTCATTCTTCATTCTTCACTGGTTAGATGTATTATTTAAGCATAATATATTTGTATTTTTCTTCTTGCGATATGCATTATAACAAAGTAGTTAATCTGACTCAATGGTGTATTTATGCTAGCTTTTCACCACCATTACCGTTGATGAAGCTGCTCCTGGGTTGAAGACAATTTTAAGCTTCAGAGTTCCTGACCAAAGGTCTGGAAAGGTAAATAGCAATATCTATGGCATCAAATGTGTCTATTAGAAGAAGAAAATGTCAAATTGTGTACTACTTGTGCTTGTTCTAATTTTGTATTGGTCTTGACAGTTGGAAGTTCAATATCTACATGACTATGCTGGGATATGCACTAGCGTAGGGTTGACAGCAAACCCTATTGTTAACTTTTCTGGTGTAGTGGGTACCAACATTATTGCTCTTGGAACTGATGTATCCTTTGACACCAAGACTGGAGATTTCACCAAATGCAATGCTGGTTTGAGCTTCACAAATGCCGACCTTGTTGCTTCTTTGAATCTGTGAGTGGTGTACCTTACTTTAGCATGTGTTCACTTGAAATTCAACATGTTTTATATATCAAGTTAGGCATTCAAGTTGTATGTTAGTTTTTTGATGTGCATGCTCTATGACAACTCAGGAATAACAAGGGAGACAATCTGACTGCATCATACTACCACACAGTGAGCCCTCTTACAAGTACCGCTGTTGGGGCTGAGGTGAATCACAGCTTCTCCACCAATGAGAACATCATTACCGTGGGTACTCAGCACCGATTGGATCCTTTGACCAGTGTGAAGGCAAGGATTAACAACTTTGGCAAGGCCAGTGCTCTGCTTCAACATGAGTGGCGTCCAAAGTCCCTTTTCACAGTTTCAGGAGAAGTGGACACTAAATCTGTTGACAAGGGTGCCAAGTTTGGACTTGCTTTGGCTCTCAAGCCATAGGTTTTTCATCTTTAATCCATAGACATGAGGCATTACTGCAATTTGAAGACTTGTTCTGTAGTGTTTTTTGCACTGTAAAAATAAATTTAGGTGGTTGCTTGAACCTATGCATCCTTGTTCTAAGTTCGTACATTCTTATTCGCCCTTTTTGAAAATGATGGGTGGTGCCCTATATTGATTCTATGACCTTGAGAGGTCAAGCTTGAGATTTTGTCATAATCAACAGCCAATTTTTGAGTACTTTGGTCCATGTTTACAGCTCAGAAACTGTTGAGACTCTTTCATATAATGGCCTGGTCAGTCAGATAAATCTCATACAATGCTATGCTGTTCTGGATTCTGCTGAGCAATTGATGTTTACAATTCACAAGAAGATGAGGCAATACCTCAGCAAAAAATGTGTTCTATTGTTTTCTCTGGGTGCCTTTCTAGGCGTTGCAGTTTTGTTTCATTGTGTCATTCGTGTATAGTGAAAACTGAATGGCATTAGGAGCTTGCATGTATATTATAGCCAAAGAGGTGCAAGTTTGTAGCTTACACAAGATTCTCACAAAAGTGAAAAAAAACTTTTCTGGCATGTGGTAATATGTCAATGAAACAATACATTGAACCGACTATAAGACAACAAACATTCGACTTAAATAGTTGCATGTAATTACATTAGCAACACACATGTATGTAGAGAACAATAATGACCATCATAATCGAATCAAGAAATATTACTTACAAAACAGAACCACACGAGACACTGTGAAACACATTTATAAAAGATTTTGTTGCTCCACAGCTGAACCCTGGAGTAATCCTTGTCGAATCTGCCCTGCAATGTCACTCACAGCACCAGGTCCATGTGGGATAAAGACTGCTGAGGATTTGGAGCTGGCACCAATTTCCTTCATGGTGTCAAAATACTGAGTTATGAGGACCATGTCCAAGACGTCCTTGGCAGTAGTTCCAGGTACATTAACTGAAAATCCAAGAACACTGTCCCTTAAACCATCAACAATGGCCTGGCGTTGTCTAGCAATCCCTAGTCCTGCCAGGTACTTAGCTTCAGCATCACCTTCAGCTCGTTTAATCTGGACAATTTTTTCAGCTTCTGCTTTCTCATTGGCGGCTACTCTCAACCTTGCAGCTGACAGAGTTGGATGTAAACCAACAGTTAGGTTAAAGCTTTAAGAATTACTTGTGACCAGCTAGAGTCTGGATAAATTGAAACGACTTGCTGGACAGAGTCCAATGTAGCAACAGAATCTAGCTATAATGGAATTTAGTCTCCTAACAAGGAAATCTTTTCTTGAGAACCACAAGAGAAGGCCTTTTTTGAAAATAGAATCATGATGCTCTTTAGGGGCTACTGAAACCTATGAGGTGGGGTCATACGAATAACGAAAGACTAAGCTTGCTCATGCTCTCATGTTTCACATGAGAATATGAGCAAACTTGAGATATACATAAGCTAAGTATTTGATTCTCCCAAAGGAAAAAGACAGCCATGGTTTATCAGCTATCTTTGTAGGTTCACAGACCTGATCACACCTAATTTTATCAGTAAGTCATTTATAAATCACCAGAGAACTTTCCCATGTGATGAATTACTACTATTAGATAGAGGGAAATGAGGTATTGCCTGCATTGGACTAGCTAAAGAGAGGTTATACATGATACCTGCATTGATTTCATTCATAGCTCGCTTAACGTGTTCATCTGGCTCTATATCAACTATGAGTGTCTGAACAATCTCATACCCGTAAGCAGACATTGCCTACATATCATACAAAGGAAGATGAGTACAATAATCATCATTGCTTGTCACTTGTATAGCACCGTAAATGATGGGAATGAATTACCTTTTCAAGTTCATCCTCCACTGCTTTTGCAATTTGATTCTTCTGCTCAAAGACATCATCCAGATTTAGCTTTGGAACACTCGCCCTGATTACTGTACAGTCATGAGAGAGGCCATCATTATTTGGGAGGAAATAATAAGTTCAAAAAAAGAACGTCAAACATTGTGCTCATGCAATTGCAGTATGCAGAAACTTTAGATACAACCATTTTTTATGTTGCGTCATGAGAAAAAAAGAATCTAAGAGATTTGTATATTCATACCATCAAACACATAGGCTTGGATCTGGGATCGAGTATTACTAAGCTTGTAAAAAGCATCAGTAGCTTTATCAGCCAGAGCACGATATTGTATAGAAGCAACAACAGTTACAAATACATTATCCTGCACGACAAATGAAATGTTTTACCAGTTAAATCATGACAAAGGAAAAGGTCGTGCTGTAGATTACTGTCATTGAGCACAGTGAGATATCCCCTATTAGAATATCATGATTTATTATGGTGGTTTACATGATGTCCTTTCATTTGATTGAAAATCAGAACGTAGATGTTCACAAGGACAAACAAACGTGTGCTACAAGTACAGTTTAGCAAGAACTATTTTCGATTCTGTGGCCATATCAATTATCTGGACATAATCTACTGAAATCCAAGTTAAATGAATTAGTTGGTTGTGCTCTTGAATACCTCTTAACGCCAGTAAACATGATGCAGGAGAAAGATATGACAAGACAAGCACAAGGCTTTTTATAGTAGTAAAACCCTCCATCCTTCAACCACTAGGTTGCAGGGTTCAAAGGCCGAAACAAGGAAATAATCAAGACAAGACAAATTTATAACATAACATCATCTTTGCACTAATAGTTTCAATAATCTGTTACCTTTTGTTTTGTTAGGGTAAATTTCAGCCCCCTCCCAGTCTCCCACACACACACAATCATCTACCTAAGAGCCAACAATGGCCTTTCCCAACTTTGTTCACTTGGTGACTTGAACTTTCAACCACACAGTTTAACAGTATTTTCCATCATGTTGTAATATGAACTAATCATCCACAAGAATTACGGGAAAAATGTTGATTCAAGCATATGCTATTATGAGTTGAACATCTAACCCATTATATTTTTCAAGTAATGAGTTCATATCTACTATTTGTTGCAATTTTGATGAATTTTTTCACATAAATTTACACTTTCACATTAAAACTAGTGGTTCATATGAACCCAGTAACTAAGAGTTGCATCGACCCCTGGGTTGCAGAGTGGAGAACTTCCTCACCATTTTATGATACTGAGCTAATGAAACGTCGTAGATCTAGTTGGAAAAAACAACTAGCAGTCAAAACAAGCTAACACCTTTGATAATAAAACTCCATCCACATCGAGTGTTTACAGCAAATCACATTAATTTACGCACCTTTGACTTGGTTTCACATCGTACATCAAGCTGTTGCAGCCTTAAAGTTAGGTAACCAGCTACCTGGCTCCCTATACACCATGGCAAGAAATGACATCCAGGCTCAAGCACATCATCAAACTTGCCAAATCTCTCCTTAATAGCTACTGTGGATTGGTCAACTTGTACACAGCAGAACAGATTCCCCATTGTCTCTGTTCCCCCAACAATTCCAACACAACAGGTAAAAATTCAAGATTTTAAAACACAAAGAAATAAAAGAGTAATATTTCCTTTTTAACAATAAAAGAATAACCAATTATCCTATGCCACATACAAGCAGCAGTGTATAGGTTCATATAGTATCTTGAACTAATTATAAGAATCAAAAACCAAGAATCAAAAGGGGCAAGTTTTTCCTTTCTACTTTTTAAGGTACCCACAAATTACAAAAGTTATGCTAACATATGGCACCAAACTTAATTGGGTATTATTGAATAAGGTAATTTTTTCAAGAATGGAAGATCGAATTTCCAAGATTATTAGGATGAGACATACCTTTGATTGTTATTTTGCAGAGATCAGCGGAGAGAGACACGAGGTGGGGTGTTGGAGGTTGGGGTGCGAGGTTAAATGAGACCTCGAGGTTAAATATGGGTTGATGTGCTTAGGAAAGTGAAAATATATAAATAATTTACACAAACCATAATAGCATAAACAAAATTATATCCGAAAGCTACGTGAAGCAAAAAAAAATCATTATTAATACTTTGTACAAAAAAATAAAATGACAAGGATTGCATTATGCAAGATTCTAAATCTTGACATTGCTACTAAAAACTGCTTACTTATTTTTTAAAAGTGTTTTTCTAAAATAGCTATTTTGAAAAGTGCTTTTCAAAAAAACCAATTTGTGTTTGGCAAATTCATTTGAAAAGTGCTTTTGATAAACAATTTGTGTTTGACTATCTTTTAAAAAAAATGCTTTTGAGAGTCAAATTACGAAAAATGACAAGTATCAATGTGCTTTTAATATTAAGATTATTTTATAGAAACTATTTTAAATATCTAATACATAACTTGAATTAAATTAAAATGTACATACTCAAATTATTAATCAATATTATACATAGATAAATAAATAAATAAGATATTAATATAATATTAACATGATGATTTAAATATAATTAAAAATATCAAGCAAAATAAAATTTAAAAACTATTCCACAAATAAAATCACTACATACGAAAAACTTACCACAAAAATAAATAAAGTTCTTCATACATCACAAATTTTTTCAATGATTTCATCCCTAATTTTATCATGCAATAATACGTAAAATAATATATAGAATATAAATAATAATATATAAACATAAATAAAACAAAAAGTTTATCATATAAATATGTTAATTAATTAATAAGAGATTGGTAAACCCTTGATTTTTCAAAAAAGTTTGCCAAACCCTTGATTTTTCAAACAAAGTGTTTTTTTCTTTTTAAAAAAGAAACACTTTTGACCTCCCAACAACAATGTCAAACATGCTCTTAATATACATGTTCAATCTCTAATTTAAATATAAACTTATTGATAATATCATTAACATTTGTAAACATTATTTCCTTTCCGTCAACAAAGTTTCTCAATAGAACAAAAAGTGAAAACACATTTTTACAATAAATTCTTTTATGTCCTATGGATTTCCAAAAAGCACTATTAGTATTCCAACAACAACAAGAACAACCCCCACCCCACATGTCCATTGAACAATGGTTGCATCCCTAACACCTTCATTTCCATCATCATTACCAACAACAACCACTTCCACATGGCCTTGGAGCAATGTCAACAGACCTAAACCCACTACCACTACCACCACAACCTCAAACCCACCAACAAGAGCAAATCAACTCATATATGTTATCCACAAAAATCATTTTTCATTAACCCCAACAATAAAAGAGAGAGGGCGGTCGAGGAAGTCTTTTGCTAATGGTTTGTGTCGTTCCCCTACTCTAATTTCTGACTCTCCTTGAGATTGACCTTCTGAAAGTTCCTCTAAGAAGTACAGTGGGAGGCTTTAGACCTCTGAAAAGAATAAGCCGCCACAAGCTTTAGGTATATATAATTTTACTATTGCGTTAGTTATGTGCCTAGCCTTTGATTTAATAAAGATTTAAACTTAATATACACTTATGTCAAATTCTTTAAGTGATGAATCATGCAGATTCAAGTGTTCATGTTACTAGTGTTGCTTCTCCAGAAAATTGTGGTAAGAAATCCCTCAAGACACTGATCTTTAGAAAACATCTCAAGAAATTTTTTACCATGATTTTCTGAAGAAGCAAAACTAAGAACATCAACACCTGAATCTGCATGATTCACCACTTAAGGAATTTGAGGAAGTGTAAATAAATTAAATCCTTCCTAAATCAAATGTTAGACACATAATTAAAGCAATACTAAAAACTTACACATCTAAAGCTTGTGGCCATTTTTTCTTTCCTAAACCATGGGACCTCCCATGGGACTTTTTAGAGGGGTTTCCAGAAGGAGAATCTCTAGGAGATTAAAAAAAAAATAGAGTAGGAGAACGGCCTAAACCATCCACAAAAGACTTTCTTGGCCGTTCTCTCTTCATTTATTGTTGGGGTTGATGGAAAATTATTTTTGCGGATAACATATACTAGTTGATTTGCTGTTGATGGATTTAAGATTGTGGTGGTGGTAGAGTTAGGGATGTTGTCATTCCACCATAGCCATGTGTAAGTAGTTGTTATTGTTCTTGTTGATGGGGTTGAGGAGGTGGAATGGATAGGGATACAACCATTGTTTAATGGACATGTGTGGTGGGGGTAGAGGTTGTTGTTGTTGGAGTATTGGTGGTGGTTCTTAGGAGATCATAGGACATAAAAAAATTTTATCGTAGAAAGGTATTTTTACTTGTTGTTCTACTAAAGAAATTTGTTGACGCGGAGGGAAAAAATGTTTACAAATGTTGTGAATTATCAATGAGTTTATATTATTTTACTATTAATAATATTTCTTTAAAAAATACACGCGCTCACGCACGGACACACACGTAAATTCTTAATGACAATATTAATCAAACGACAAGTGCATTATTATCACAAATGAATAAAAAGGGAGAGGACACTAATCACGACACAAGTGAGAGAAACTATTTTGATGAGCATGCAAAACAAGATGCGGAAGTTAGTGGAGAAGACTTACTATACATGAACACTTTCCTTAAACAGAAGTGAATCAGAAGGAATCAGGATGTTGATATTTGTATTACAGAAAGATAAGTGAAGTTTGAAAGAGGGATTGTTATGTGAAATTAATTAATATAAGAAACACATCAAATTCCTTTACAGATTGCAACAATTTGCAGTGTGGGTGTGTTAAAATCAACACATTGTGATGCCAGACAATTAAATTCCTCCATTGATGAACATCAAGTTCATATGAGAAAGGAAGAAGAAAGTTCTGGAAGAGCTAAATGGAAAAGAAACTGTTTCATTGAATGAAAAATTAAGTAGTGATTGTTACATGTGACTCTGTATATATAGATACACGAATTGTAAACTAGCTAACCAACTTATGCAAAATCTGACTTTCTGTAACCAACTCTAACTAACTAACTCTGTGAAGCAGTAACAGTGCTAACTAACTCTGTGAACTTTAACTAACTAACTTATATTTCATCACCCCCCCGCAAGTTGGAGGTAAGTGAGTTTACAGACAACTTGGTTAATAGTGTAGTATGTTTAACTCCAGTCAAAGCCTTTGTAAAAATGTCTGCCAACTGTGAATCAGTGGAAATATGGTGAAGTGTGATCAGGCCTTGTTGAAGTTTGTCCCTAACAAAATGGCAATCGATCTCTATATGTTTTGTCCTTTCATGAAAAACTAGATTCTTGGCAATGTGTACTGCAGCTTGACTATCACAGAAAACCTGTATTGGCAAGGAGCAATGCACACACAATTCATTCAGTAACCTTTCAAACCATACCAGCTCTCCTACTACCAGTCTCACAGCTCTGTATTCTACTGCTGCAGAGGATAAAGAAACTGTGGCTTGTTTCTTAGACTTCCAACTGATAGGACTATAACCCATAAGCACTAGATAACCACTAACTGACTTTCTTGAATCAGGACAAGCAGCCCAGTCTGAGTCACAATAGGCACTAACAGTAAGGTCAGGTTTGTTTGAAATGAAGATTCCTATTGTAGGATCTTGTCTCAAGTATCGAAGAACATGATAACCTGCTTTCAAGTGTGGTTCTCTGGGTGTTTGCATAAATTGGCTGAGATGCTGCACACTATAAGCTATATCCATCCTAGTATTTGTAAGAAAGTTAGGTTTTCCTATCAACTTCCTGTAATAGGTAGGATCAGACAATAGCTTCCCATCTGTGGCCTTCAACTTTTCAGTACAATCAAGGGGTGAGGCTGCAACTTTACAGTCGAAAGAATCAAATTCCTTCAAGAGGTCAGTGGTGAACTTCCTTTGTGAAATGAGAACTCCATCAGGCCTGTACAATATTTCTAACCCCAAAAAGTAGTGTAGTCTACCTAGATCCTTTATTTTGAACTGATCATGCAAAAAGGATTTCAAAGAATTGATTTCCTCCAAATCAGTTCCAGTTAAGATCACATCATCTACATATATGGCAACAAACACCAAAGAAGCTCCCTTCCTCTTATAAAATAGTGAATAGTCACTATCTAAATGTATGTATCCTTTTGAACAAAGACTGCTGACCAATTTTTCATACCATTGTCTACTAGCTTGTTTCAAACCATATAATGATTTCTTCAGTCTGCACACGATACGTGGACTGTCCACTGCAAGACTTGGTGGCAATGTCATATATACTTCCTCATTCAAGTCACCATGAAGGAAAGCATTGTTAACATCCAATTAATACAAATTCCATCCCTTCTTGACAGCCAATGTGATAAGGGTCCTAACAGTGGTCATCTTAACCACAGGAGAAAAAGTCTCATTATAGTCTATACCAGTTTGTTGAGTATACCCCTTAACTACTAGCCTTGCCTTGAACCTCTCCACACTACCATCTGCCTTGTGTTTGATTTTGTATACCCATTTACAGCCAATAGCATTCTTCCCTTTGGGTAGGAGGACCAGTTCCCAAGTATTGTTTGCATACAATGCTTCAAATTCTTGTGCCATTGCCTTCTGCCAGGCAGGATACAAGATTGCTTCTTCATAGGAAGAAGGTTCACAGTCTTGTGATATATTTTCAATCAACTGCTGACTATCAGAACATAAAGAGGTGAAACAAACACTATCATGGTTGGACACAAAAGAAATGAGGGACTTATGTGGGCTGGAGGTACTTGTAGTGGAATGTAGGTTAGGTAGAGTGTAATTATATTCTTTCAAATAGGTGGGGTGATGAAGTGGTCTAGTTGTTCTTCTAAGGGTAGGTATAACATCATAAGATGGAACAGGTGCAAACATGGATTGTGTGGTGGTTAATGGTGAATGGGTAATCTGTCCTGCAGGTGAGGTTGTGTTTTCTGCAGTATCATTGATTACCTGATTAGTGGGGACTTCATGTGATGTGTTAAAGTCCAGTAATTCATCATTAGAAAGCATGCTTGTTGAATGTGGAGTGTAAGTAGAAGTGTTAGAGTGATGGATTAAAAACTTTAAAACAGAAGGAAAACTAGAACCATCAGGAGCAAGTACAAAAGGAAACACAGACTCATGGAAAATAGCATCTCTAGATACATGGACTCTTTTGGTAGCTAAATCTAAGACCTTGTAACCTTTTGTATTGAAAGGATAACCAACAAAAAATATGTGGTGTTGCCCTTGGTTCAAACTTGTCCTTGTGGGCTTTTAAGGTAGTGGAAAAACATAGGCATCCAAAACTTCTAAGATTGAGAGTACGTAGGTGGTGTATGGTACAGTAGTTCATAGGGAGTTTTATTCTGTAAAGGTTTAGAAGGCAATCTGTTAATAAGGTATGTGGCTGTTAATACACACTCCCCCCAGTCTTATGGGCAATTTAGACTAAAATAAGAGGGCTCTTGCTGTCTCAAGGAGGTATTTGTGTTTTCTTTTAACTATGCCATTTTGTTGAGGTGTATATGGACAAGATTTCTGGTGTATTATTCCCTTTTCTTGGAAAAAATGAGTGGCCTCGGTAGAGGTGAATTCCAGACCATTATCAGACCTGATGGTCCTCAATTTGTTCTGGAATTGATTTTCCACAAGACATATGAAAGCCTTGATTGTTTGTAGAGCATTACTTTTGCACCTCAGCAGTTGTGTCCAAGTTGATCTAGTGAAATCATCTACCATGGTTAAGAAATAGTGATAACCATCATGAGTAGGAATGTGGTATGGTCCCCATAGGTCAATGTGAAGTAACTCAAAAACTTTACTAGTGATAGTTGTGCTGTCTGGGAATGGCATTCTAGGTTGTCTAGCCATGGGGCATATGGCACAAGTGAAAGGTTGTTTGGTAGAGAAAGGAACAGGTATAGTTGGAATTCTTTTCATTTTTACAAAAGGTACATGACCTAGTCTAGCATGCCATATGAGTTCATCTGTATGAGAGTTATCAGACTTAACAATAAAAGAAGAACAATCAGTAAGATGACATGAAGAAGAACCAGGTTTGGGACAATCATCTTTATTATCAACAGGACAATGTCTTACAGTAGATGATGTTGAAAACTCATTACACTTTACTAAAGAGGGAACAAAAGTACAATGACTGGAAATGACATGAGGTCCTTTGCTCTTAGTAGAAGATGAACAACAGTTGTGGCACTTTGAACATAGGAAATAGAGGCCATTCTTGGCTCTACCAAGTTCCAGAGGGCTCTTCAGAGAAGGGCCCTGCAGTAAACAAGAAAAACTGTTAAAGCTTACCACACCTTTGAGTTGAAATG